TAATGCCAAATGTATCATATTTGATACATACTGTTTCTGAAATGTTTTGCATCTGACACCTTTTGCATAATTTAATGGTAAAAACTTTGCTCAATATCCTATTGTACACATTCAGATATACTTGATAACAGCCAGTAGAAGACTACACAAAAAATAATCTTGACTTATCGCATAGTAATAAATTATTAATATCAAAAATGTATTTCTGTTTTTTCTTTTTACATATTTTGTTAAAAGGCCAAATAAGGAAACCAAACCAAAAAAAAGTAATTTTCTGTTTTGTTTTATTCTTGGATCGGGCTTTAAAGGGTTAATAGATAAAGAAGATCTGCTTCTTATGAAAAACAGAGATCAAGGTTCTCCTTTGACGTATAATATTGTAAACCATAATCAGTGGAGACGATGTCCTTGTCCTGGGAAACAATGTCTGCTTTGTTAGATGTGGCTACAGTTGGTTCAGGAAGCTTGAAGTTGGAGGTAGGTTAATGTTTTTACTGAAAGCTGGTTAATTATCCCTATAAAGAGCTTTTAGAGTGCAGTTTTCTTCCAGAAGGATCTCCAGTTATAATAAAAGCACTTAATGTTGTGTAGGTTTTACATGACATGAACTTTGACTCCATTATCAGTCAAGATGAGGTCACGTTCTGGTTAACTATTTTGACCCTGAAAGAAGGACAAGATGTGCAGGAATATGTTTCAGAGGATTTTAACGGATTCCTTTGAACTAAAATCTGGGAGTCTAATCTAGCTAAATTGAATTAGTATAAATATGGAAGTAAAAGCCAAACAGCATGTTTATAAAAAGATCTGAGGAAAATATATCAATTGATCAGGATTTTTTTTTTAACATAAGAAAATTCCACTTTGAATTTTTGCTGAGTCGTGTGTTAAAAAGAAACTGAGCTTCCAGGGATGAAATAAGTCATTAGTTCTTTATCTTTATGGTCCTATCTTTGCAACAATTAAAGCTGTTCTGGTTTATAACAGTCTGGTCTCTGATCAAAGAAAGTCTATATAAGAAAAAAAAAAAGGAAGGCATTTGTCCCTTAATTTTGACATTATGTGGGAAACAAGTTTACTTCACACATTTAGGGACAAGTCATTTGCTTAATTTGCAAGAGTGTGTCGACAAGTCTAAACTAAAATCTAAAAGTTTATTGCAGAGTAGGTTTGCACTCAAGGAATTTGACTGGATGTTTATGATGCAGATAAAATAGATATATACAGAATCTATACCATATACGATATAAAACATACAACATACTATCAGTGTTTGTTCCATGTTTGATGCTAAGCAAACTGTCTATGCTGATTTTAAAGAACTCTTAGCATTAGACAGCTAAGCTGCTAACTGTAAAACCTTTGTAATAAATGTGAATAAACGAAAATATGTCGCATCACATAAAGTTACTAAACATTTGGAAGTGATGATTTTTAGCATCACCCCGCCTCTCGCCCATAGACAGCTGGAGAAGCTCAGGAGATTTTTACCTTAACTGTTTTATTAACCTCAAATAAATGTATTTTCTGTTGTTGAGATGTAATAATTACCCTTGGGAAGAATTTTACCTTTAATTGACTTCGGTTTTGTCATTTTCTATACACAAGTGTAAACAAAAAGAAATTTCGTTAAGTACAGCTCTCTAGTCTATTTCATTTTATAAAGTGCAGCCTTGATAAGGTAAGCAGCAGTGATAACATTGTATTGAAAACAGTAATGTAAACATGACTGTATAGTTACAGTTCTAATTTATTTTACTTTGTTTAAATATGGGTGGTGTTTTGCAGTTTTGCTCTCAAACTGCAGTGTTAGCATTTGTAAGTTTAGCTTCCTGTCCTTTATGACCGTTTCAGGGTTTGCCT